TAGCCCAATCAATAATTATGCACGACCCTCAGATGATAGGAGACAATGTCTCCTTCTTCGCGGCTTCGACACTCAGGTATAGGAAAGCCTTTACTTCGCACCAACCTGTTCCGGGTATGAACCTACCCCTATTGTCCTTCATCCCATGGAGCTCCCGAGACATCCACAACCAAACCCTTGGCCACAGAAGTATCGATCGCCATCCACAACAATTGTCGTTTTCACGGATGGGTCGAGAGGGAAGGGTTAACTCCACCAGATCTCCTTCCACCAACTCAAGGGGCTCACATGGCCACCATTCCACGACGATAGGGAATTCCTCTACCGCCGCTGGGGGCCATATCCACTCAAACTAACCTCCCCCTAGGTCTAAAGGGTAAAAGGAAACAAGAGAGGCAGAGAAAGAGGTCAAAAACATTTCGGCAGCATCTACCCTCCCTCCGTTGGGATCGGGTTCGGGATAAGTCCCTCAAAGACAAGTGCTTACTAAGACACTAGAACATGCCTTAAACTACCCTGGATATGGAAGGCGCCAAATTCCGAGCTCAAACAGAGCGTACACGCCTTTTGCTCGAGTTCCCTCGAATATAAGGCGTGTGCTCGGCTCGGGGGAAAGCGGTCCATCCCACCCTCGGCGCTTCTGACCAGCGGAACTTGTCCTCTAGTCAGAAACTCAAAATATGACTCAGTGGTACTCGTTCTGTAATTTTTTAGGTCACCTTATGATTTTCAAGGAATTTTTAGAATTTCAATGATAAAATTTCCGAATAAAGGAGAAATAATCCGTACTATACCCCTAATACCTATGGGGTGGTAAGTCCAAGCCCAAAAAGAGGCTCAAGGTAAGCTCCAACTTCTTTTTGTCCTTTGTTTGATTTTTTTTTTGAATTTTCTGTAATTAATTGTTTAAAATTAAATTTAATTAAGAAAAATTTTTCCTTTTGGCTTTAATCCTTTAGAACAATAAGATAGATCTTACCGTAAGGCACATATGTCCTGCCAATGTGTTATACTCCCTTTTTACAATTTTTTTAATATTTTTCAGATGTTAATTGAATCAAAATAAAATTAATCCGAGTGAATTCTCTTTCTTATTTTATATGTTTGGAGGGTTGGGATTCGTCACGACTTACCAATTTGCAAGATTTAAGGGTGGTGAAAACGATTTTTAGGAAATTTTGAAAAATTTCAGTAGCACTTCCCCTCCCCCCGTTGGGATGGGGTTCAGGACGAGTCCCTCGAATAAGACTGCCGAAAGGAGGCCGAAAGTAAAATAAATGACAAGCAAGAAACTAATTTTTAACAGGTTTTTAGGTATTTATTTGATTTTTTTTGCTAATTTTATTGGCAAAAACTCAAGCTAATTCTGTCTTTTTCGCGTAAATTTCTTGTGGAAGAAGCCCGAATCTCCTCGGTACCTCGACGCGGATTTTCACGGACCTTGCATTCGCACAATATCCGAGTAATGCCCTAACTTTCAATTCTTGCGATTTTTCTCTTTTAATCTCTTTTATTGCTTAAAACTTATTTAATTACGTACACAAAAGTTTTACCGTCGATTGACCCAACGGAGGGTTCCAAAATTTTCTGCTAATTCAGGAGCCCGACTTTGGTCCTGGGGTCTCTGCGCTAAAGCCGCACGACTTAGCAGATAAAATAAGTTTCAACCTTAATATAGCATTATATGTATAACCTCGTCTTAGGGTTTTACCTAATTAGGGTTTGGGGTTTTGCGCGCGATCGCACGCACACCATAAACCCCGTATCACTGTGGGAAATTTTTGGGATATTTCTTGAGGTTCAAAGTCAAAAGTTATCGGAGTACATTTTTGTTTTTTATTGTTTTTTTTTTGTTTTAATTAAATTAATAAGGAAAATATATTTTTTCAATCTAATTTGTATTAATGGGCGTTGTAGATCCCGTACCGCTCCCATGTGTTGTCGGTTTCCCCCGTAGTAGGTCTCAAAATGTCGAGAGAAATAAGCTGAACAACTTTGTCCCGAGCGGGCGCCCTCAAATTTCGCTCCAATTTTTGGTAATTTAATTAAAACAACAAAATGAATTTTTATAATGTTTTTATTTTTTAAACGAAGAAAATTACATATCTCAAAATCGAACCGTTAGTTTCGGCCGCCTAGGGTCTCAAAATCTTTATCTCGACGAGAGGATCAACTTTGATCTGGGGTCGGCTTGCGCAAAAACGCCCGGATAAGCAGTTATCCCAAAAAAAACTAATCAATTAAATTAGATAATCCACTAATCAAGCAGCCTGGAGCTAATTAGCCTGTGCACCCCCGTCTGATAGGGGAAGGCCGAGGCCTTGGGGGTGCAGTCCCCTCCCCGGCAACGACGCCATGGTTGTGAGGAAACCAGGGAGAGGAGCCCGTTGATCTATTGAAGCTCGAGACAACGTCTGTCACCCGCGGCGCTTGCTTCAGGGGTCCTCAACAACACAACGGGGAGTGGGGTTTAGTCTGCTTGCCACAACCCCACTTTAGAGCCTGTCTCGAAAGGTATTTTCGGTTAATTTGAAATGAATAAAAATAAAATAAAATTTTTAAGCCTGCAGATTTGAGATCATGTTCAATTTGGGTTAATGCCGCGCTCACAAGATCTCTGATTTACAAGGGCAGAAATTGAGTTTCGCTCGCGCTATACCCAACAGAGACAACAGGGATATTCTGGGCGAAGAGAACAGGTTGTCAGGAAGAGCACTGCAGAGATTGTTAAGATATAGGGACACACTTGTAGACTTTCACATAAGTTGAGAGTAAAGGCCGACCCAACGATCCAGATCGACGGGGAAATGTCCCTCCAGGAAAAGAGGACTTCACCCCAAAGTGGTAGATATGATTAAATGCACGACATTGGCATATCAGAAGCCTGCAATCTGCCCTCTATCGTTCTCTTGCACATTCACGCAGTTCCTACATTCACACACACAGTTCTTACTTCTCTTTCCCTCTACGTCTTTATCAGCAAGCTCGGTCTTGAGTGTAGCAGTGCACCAACCAACAAGGCAATTTGAAATGCGTCGGCGATCCAACTTACGCGTTTGATTTGTTCAAGCCGGTTAATCAACCCGTAGCCTTGATTTGGGGAATACACGATCAGTAGACTCGGCCCTTTTTTTTTTTTACCAGCGATTCGATCATAAGGCACTGCTTTGTATTGCACCTGCGAACTGAGTGTCTGATATTTGATTCAACAGGGGTTTCCCGTTGAAAAGTTCAACGGTCGTTGATACCCCGTTACAACGTCGTGCTATACCATGTTAGAACGAGGTGCAACGCGGCCTGCGAAGATTTTTTCAGCGGTCTAAAAAGAAATAAAAAAAAAGGGGGTGTAGTTTTTTTTGCGTTTTACATCCCCATACTGTTTTTTTTTGTTTTTTTAGCATGTCAATTATTTTTTAAAAATTAAAAATCCAAAAAACACTGTAAACACAATGAAAAACAAACGAACTA